CACAATTTTAGCTTCCGAAGTTTATAGCATACTGACTATAGGAAACTAATAACAGATACTCTTTTTTTTTGGTGTGGCCCATTGTTTATATTTATAAACGTGTGGAGGCTTTCTAGAAGTTTCAGTTTTACGTAACAATACCGACGCTAACACAAGTTGATTCTTACTCTCGAGAATCTTCTACAACTTTAGAGAATAGGCAGGAGTTTTGCAATATAAATTTAATCTAAACAAACGTTGATATCAAAATAAATATATAATAATAAATCCGTCACACCAGGAATTGGGATAATATTTTAATGTATCTTCAGGAAATGAACTATAAATGTGTGGTGGAGTTAAAATGGATTGGAGATGCATAAATAATTATTTGTACCTCTTGCTTCTCGCTCTTTTGGTATTTGTTAAGATAATAAACGCTAGTGGTTTTCCTGCATGCTTTTGGTTGAAAAGAAGGTCAAATATTATTGCTAAAAACATATGTTGTTTTTCTATAAACTTGTTAATGTAGCAGTTTTAGATAGTATTCTTTAGTAGTTTAGTGATAAGTTTTGAATGGAGACTTGGCTAATTTAGTTAAATTGTCAGTAACGTTTGATCAGAGATCACAGCTTAACTGATTTTTATTGAATATCTAGAATGATTTTAAGATAATGCTTGAGCTTTACAGTTTTTTTTTTTTTCACTTTCAGTGAATTTATTTATAACTGTTATCATATATTTAATAGTGATCTATCGAAGCCATTGATTTTTAACAAAACTCATTCAGCTTTTACTGTAATCTTATCTATAATACATAATATTAACTTTTGTTGGCTTATTTTTTTAACTGTTTGAGTTTGCTAGGATTACTTCACTGATAATATTATTATAATGAATCTCAGTGAATGGTTAATTTGACATATTCATGCAGTTTTTAGAACTTACTTGCTTATATTCTTGTAAATCATAACACTTCTGCACATTTTAAAAAAAAATTATTTGCAAAATAAAAATGTAGTTGACTGACAAGTAGCAAATGATGATAAAAATGTGTTATTAGTAACGTTTAAGTTAAAATTTTTAGAAAATAATGTTTATGTTGCTAATCCTCTTAATTCTCTTAATCTGCCATTGGTAGACTCTTATGTGAAAACTATAAAAATCTAAATAGATCAATTTTACCTAGTCATATTAATTTTCATATAAATCAATATAGTCTATCCTGAGAGCTTCCAAAACCTTATCCTCCATTTGAGGATTCCATTATGAAAATTTCAAAAATATAGAATGAGATACTTATTTTGTGTACACCTGTTTTCATGTGAATCTATGGATACAATCCATAGAATTATCTTTGACAAACATGGTCAAAAATTAAATTATTGTTTTGAATGACTCTACATGTTAATACAAACTTTCGAGAAAATTGGTTTAATCAAACATGAAAGCTCTAAAAATAAAAAACTCAACTCCAATTTTGGGGGCCTCCTTCAAGCTTTTTAACACTTTTTTTCTTCCTTTATATTGGGTGTAAGAAGATCAAGAGCATATATGCAAAATTCAAGTTTTCATGTTAAACTCATGAGAGAAGTTTAATAATATGTATTAAACCAAGATGTATACAAACATATACAGATACAATTGAGAATAACTACATAAATATATATAGATAGATAGATAGGTTTACATTAGGTATAGTTTTAGATAAATTTATTTGCCGATTTCTTATCAAGAACTGCAAGAACAACTGGAAGAGAAAAAAGAAGAACTTAAAGCTAACCAAGCAGTGGCTATGGAAAAGTTGAAACAGGCTCTCTCCCAGAAAGATGCTGATTGGATTATTAAAGTACAAGCATTGGAAAAGGTGAAAATGAGTTGCACCATATTGTATTAATACCTTTTTTCTGCAAGGTATATTTATGGTATAATAAATGGTTTCAAATATGCTTTTATGAAGTGCTATACTCTCACTTTGTATCCTCTTCTTATGTATATCAACTTTACTTATGTTGTACATTTATTCTTATCAGGAACTGACTCACACTAATGTAAATATACTGAAGAAGAATAGTCAACTATTTGAAAGTGCTCGAGTTTAGGGTCTCGTCTGAAAATATTATAATATTACCAGTATGGGTTTTAGTTTCTTACTGGCAGCATATTATTTTCTTTCTGTACCTCTCGAATTATGGTTTCACTGCTTCTGTAGAATTTAGTGCTACTGCATCTACAAATCTAGTGGCAGAGTACACCACTATCAGAATATAATTATTCCTTTGCTTTGTTTATACTGGAAGTAATTCAATGATATTAGCAATAACTGAGCTAAAAGATTTACTAACAATTTCTAAGTTAAACATTGGGCTTTTTAGTTTCATGCACCTCTTACCAGATAACTGAGGTGCTGGACAGCTTTTAACACAAGCTTATGATAATTTTAACATACTTGGCCAACTATACACCCTATCCTAACTATAACACTGTCAGTCTACATTGCTTTTGGGAGTACTCTTTAATTCTTACCATCATTCTCGTTACATTTTAACTCAATACTTCTGCAAGTAATAATAATTTGGCCCAAGTTTAGTTTACTTTCAATTCTTCTGACATTGCTTCACCACAGCATTTATTCAAACTGATCTTCTAACTGCCATTTGATTATTTGTTCTCAATTCTTATCCCTATCCTAACAGCAAATATAACTTCATTATTGTTTTTAGTATTTACTTCATGATTTATTTCTTAACCTCACTCTTACAACTATTTCAGAGGTTTCTCAAATCTCATTTGTTACTGGATACTTTGACTGTGTATTACTTCTGCTGCTATTGTATTTTGCAACCTGACAACTTCTGGTTCATTATCAAACAAAACTGGATGTGGTATACCATCCACCACCCTTACAACTATTTCAATTTGTTACTGGCTATTTTAACTGCATGTTACCTCTGCTACTGTTGTATTTTGAAACCTAACAGATTCTAACTCATTACCAAACAACCTGGATGTGGTATACCATCCACCATTCTTACAAGTATTTCACCTTCAGATTCTTGACATTTTAATGTGACCTTAGTTAACCCTCTCAGCATTATTAGTTAGACAGGTTCGAAAGGCAATAAAACAGTAAAATTAAGTAGAAACTTATGTAAACTGTTATGAAACGTAAGCTGTTTAGAATAAATAAATGTGGTTTCCTGTTACACTTTATAGTTATTCTAGAAAGAAATAAGGATAATTTGAATTCAATTTTTTTGTGGTGGTTACAAGATTGGTCAAATTAATTGAGTCTGTAAAGAGTTAAGGTAGAGAAAGTAAAAGATAAAATATAAAAAAAAACATTTATTTAGGAGGTTTTAGAGGTTACACGAATTTTCAGATGAAGAGAAGTATTTTTAATTTTAACATGAAAATCACTTTACACTTGGGGAATTCAACACGTTAATTCCATATATTCATGGACAAATCTTTAGTAAAAATATCTCATTAACAAATCTGATTTTTTATGTAAAAAAAGACTTGTAACATTTTCCAGAAGCTTGCCAGATTTTGTAAAGGTACATTTACCATATTGAAAGTATAGAAACTTTAATGGTTACCTTGGGTTTACGAGGTTGGTGTAATCCACTGACCCCGTATGGAAAGAGTTAATGTTAAAATATACTGACACCTTCACTTTGATGATAAACCCAATTATGTCTAATGTATCTAACTGTGAGTTTATCATCTTTTACTAACTGGAGTTTTATGAAAACCTGCATCTCTTAATGCCTTTACTGCTTGATCATTTAGTAAATTGTATACTATGCTTTAAATTATCAGCTATACAATTAATTTAAAGGTTGTATGTGTTATATTTGTTTGTAATATTAACACAAACTGTACAGGCAGTCATAAATTTGGATAAAATTTATATTTTTGGGCCTATAAGATTGTTTATTTATAGTAGTGTGACTATTTTTTTTGGTGATGTTAAAAAGTCTAAAAAAGCTATCATTTGTGATGAAAAATTTCTTGTAGTGATTAACTCACTAGTGACATCAAGTTAAAATTTGTTATGCTTGTGGTCAACATCACTTGCATTGTTTAGTATGTAGGCTTAGTAGTCAATTTTATTTTCATTAACTTAAAAAGTATTGGATAAGTTTCATCCCAATTGACATAAAACTGAAAGAGTGATATGTAATAAATAAAGTCAGCATATTTCAATTGTAAAAAAATAATGTAAATTCTGTTGCAATTTGCTTCACTAACATATTTTTTTAAAGATCATTGAGTCCCAAATGAAATAAATTAATTTCACTTATTTTTGTCATTTTAATTTCTGAAGTTGTTCAATATATCTGATATTTTTATGTATGGTATAATGATTAGAATGAAAGGTTGCAGCTTGGAAGAATTAAGCCATGATATGCCACTAATGAGGATGTCTATTTATTTGTATAATCAATTAAAATAGTCTTAAATTTAGGTATATTTAAATGAAATTTACAACAGTGATTTTTTTGTGTATTAGACTTAAAAATAATGTAAACAGAAAGCAAAAATTATTAATAACTTGTTACATGTAACTTGATTTCTCAATCAACACAGGCTGTCAATTTTTTCTTAGTGTATTTTATACAAGTGTAATTCTGCAAAGGCTTAGGTTATGTAATTTTACTTGTGATTTTTTGCATATTTTTGTTGAATGAACAATTATTTAAATGATCTAAAGTTATTTGAAAATAAATTGTTGTAGTCTGATTACGTTTGTTAAATCCAGCTTTCTGATATAAGGTGATGAGTAAGTTAGTGTATTTTATATGTTAACATCAATAACTAGGAGAAATTAAATTCATATATTTCAAATTCAATGACGAGGAACCCACTTTGAGACTAATAATGCTTAGAGATGGCTTGAATGGGTAATGAAGAAAAACTTTAATATAAGTGTAACAAGGTTCCTTTTAAATTCATATATGCTTACATCCATAAAAAATACATTGTAAAATATAATGACTGAATTCTTCTAAATTTTGAACCGAATTAATGGTAAAACATTTTTAATATACTATATTTGACCATTTCATTCATCTTAGGAGAGGTTACGGCTGGAAGATAAGTTACAAGAAAGTCAAGTAAAATTGCAGAAATTTATAGAAAAACAAGAAGACAAGGATGAATTGCAGAACTTTCAAAACCAAGAAATGTCCAAAATTAAACATCTGGTAACTTGTTAATTTTGTCTTTTCTACACAAAGGCTGTTTTGTATTTTATTTTATCTAGATAAAATTTATTTCCATTATGATATGTAACCTCTTCTCACACATAGCTTTTCAGATTCAGGGTTTCTCTCTCTATGTGAAACTTTTTGCTCACTACGAGCCTTGAGACTCCCACCTAATCTCACTGGTTTCTATGTGATATTGTTGCATGCAGATGAGCATTGTGACAACTCTTGACCAATGTTACATCACCTCTCAGTGCAGCTGGTTTCCTCTATACTCATTGTTAAATCAACACTTCTGGAATTGGTACTAGTGTGTTCAAACAAGGTTCATGCGAGATTTCTCACCATCAGTGTTTTGTTAAAGTATCTACAAAACTGACAGTTGTGGAAATATTTTTTTGTTTTTATTTTTAAACAATTCTGCCTCTGCAGACTTTGTGGCTCTTATTTTCCTCACCATGAATTACACAGAGACGGTCATTTCCATGCTTTCTAGGGTTGAACATCAGGACTTTGTTCACTCTAGACAGACTACCAAAATTTCATCGGGTGATTCTTTGTCTGTCAGGGGATGTGTCCTTACATCATAAGGATGTAACATTGTTCCAAAAATGAATGTAGTGAATCAAATTGTTTGAAATTTGACAGAAACTTTTCTTATAGGTATGTAGTTTCAGAAAAATAAAATACTTAATATATAAAAGTAAAACTTAAATACAGGCTAACTGTCTATCAAATTAATATGTCTAAAGTGAGAAACATATAACTAAGTGCTAGCCAGGGTGTACTTCCAACAATGCTTTAGTGGCTTGACAAGACTGTGAACAAATAGTGTGTGTCAATTTTGAAATAACCATTGAGAAATTATAGCTTAAAATTAGCTCTTTCTATTAATTAGAAATATGTCCTTCAAAAATTAAACTACTGCTTAGGATTCCCCTTTCTACATTAGAAGGTGGGTGTGGCTACTGTCAGACAGAGATAGATGTATAGCTTTATTCTTCAAAGACTCCAGATGGAATTTTAACAAGTGTCAGGTAAACAGCTCTGTACATGTAGTTTTGTGTATAGATATACATATACACTGCAGACAGAGTATAACTGAAATAGAAGAAACAAAAGCTAAAATATTTTTAACCACAAGCATGTCACATGACATTAAAACTAAAACTTTAAGTATTGTTTTAGAGGTTTCTTTTGTAATAAAGGAATAAAACCTTAGATAATGTAAAACTTTGAATTATAACATACATTATTGCTAATTTCATTAAAGTACATTGATAATAAAGTGGTTTAATTAAATTTTGAATGTAACTTAGTAACACCTCCTGACATGTGCAAAAAGGAGTTTAAAAAGTGCATTAGGTTTCAGTGCTGACAGTCCCGTCAGTGACTATTCTTTGGGCTCGGGAACAATAGGCCCATTTGGCTCAACTTGTGGATGTATGGATTCTTTTTATGGCCAGTTGTTGGAGGTTACAGTTTCTATCCATTGGCTTACCTTTTGTTTTCCTCTCCTCCTCCTTTTTCTCCTGTTTCTTTCCCTCCTTCAGGGTAACCTGTCTTCCACCAGTGTCTCTTTGAGGTGGTGTCAGACCTTTTCACCAAGGATGCTATCAAAAGAGTTTCTCACCCTTCTCTGGGTTTTCTTCTTGGTTGTTTGTCATTCTTCTGTGCACCAGGGATTGGTATCTAGTCTTGTTTTCTCAAGTCTCTATCTGTTTCTCATCTGCTGATTATCTTTTTCTTTGGGACTTTACATGACCGAGGTGAACATCTTTATGCTTATCTTCATATTCCCATCTTCCCAGGTCCATACTTTTCCTTTGGTTGTAAACAACTGGCTCCTTTTAGCTCCTTCCCATCCCAACAGAACTTTTCTGACTATACTTTTCTCCTTCTCTAGAAGGCAGTTTATCTAGATTGGCTTAGTCAAATTGGAGAAGTTTTATCTCAAACCACTCAATATCTGGTTCACTTGGGTGTGCCCTTCTTTTCCCATCTAAGCAGAGCTCAGCCTCCTCCACTTCGTTTGCAGGCCATGGAGAGTTTGGTTTCCACAGCTCTGTCCTCTCCTTATCTTGTTGTGTGAAAGGTTTTCTTTTTTTTTTGGAAATTTGGGCTTCTGGGAAACTCCTTATTGCCTTGAGATGTGCTCACTTGCATCTTTTCCAGTAGACTGTATGATCTATGGAACCTTTTTTGGTATCTTTATCTTCCCTTATCCATCTTCCCCTTTCCTGTACAATGATTTCACCTGGTGGCTCTACAGGACCAATACTATTATACATTTATATATATATTTATTATTTGTATTATATTGACCTTTCAGCTATGCCTGGCTAACAATACAGAAGTTACAATGATGCGGCACAATTGTACTCATGTTACCGTATCCAATAATATAAAACTTTCCAAGTGACCTGTCTTGGCTGTGTTTCAACAGACTAGTATTTTGTAAAATAGTCACATTTCAATTATTAT